GGCCTTAAAAGACAGCAAAGAATGGTTTCCAAAACAGATTCCAATGCAGAAGTAAATATGCATGTCCCTGTTAAAAAGGAACATTCCCAACAGAGACAATAAAGTGATACTTATAAAGCAGAAGTGGTAATTGGGTCCAGCAAATAAAGGTCATGGCTTTCATATACACAAAAAAAAAAAAACCCTAACCATTCTTGATTTTTGTGAACTGAAACCAATAATGTAGAAAAACACCGGAGCCTCATCTAAATTTCTCAGATCCTTATCAAATGAAGTCGCAACCTACTTCAAACACTTCAGAACTAAATTTAGACATGACCCATTACAGTTTTTAATAAAAATTGATTAGTTCATGATAAATCATCATGATACCACAGGACAAAATGTGGTTTTTGTCTGACAATTACTAAAGGGTGCAACACTCAAATCAGCTCCAACAGAAATCTCAGATCATCCGTCAGAGAGGGCAGGGCCCCTCCCATCTGCTACTTTAGTCACATGAGGAGTCAGACAAAACAAGCTGTTCCCAGGCAAACTAACTGTTTCAATGAGGCCAGTTTTCAGCATATGCTTTAGGATTGCCACAAAATCTTTATAAGCATGAGGGTACAGAAACTACTTTTATAAATCCATGGCACTTAAGCAGAAAATGCTAAAAAAAAATAATAATAAATTGAACTAACTTTAGCAAATAGCCTGGCTTAATGCAATTAAAATAAAATGTATGCAACCCATGAAGAAAAGATATGTTTAAGTGAGGGTAAAATCTAGGAATGTCCTGGAAGATAAGAAACAATGTGGAGCAAAGAGCGTTTTCGATTTTTAATCTAAAGTTCAACTAAAGATAAGCACAAAATACACAAGCCTGAAAAAGCATTTTAAAATTGATTGTCTTTCTGTAATCTTCAGCATTTTATTCACTTCAGGGCCATACGACCTACAAAGAGCAGTTAAACAGCCTTGTTGTTTCAGAGTTTCTATCAGAAATGATTTGTTGCAGTGACTCATTTCTTACCGGTCATTGATAAAGGGTCATAAAGTTATCGGCTGACGAAACGATCATAGATCAGCAGCTTAAGACGAGCTAATTAAAAATAAAAGCATCAGGCCAAAAAAACAATGTCTGAAAATGTTCCAAAATACAGAAATGCTAGTGAAATGACGAACTGGAAATTGCTGGCGTTTACAAACTATACGAATAAAAAGCAGAGTCTAACGTGAAGGTTAAACTGGTTCTAGTCAAAGCAAGGTCACAGAAAAACAAAAAGTTAAAAAAAACTCCAAACAGCTTAAACCCGTTAGCTTAGCTACCATGCTAGCATTAGCTGTGAAACTGAAAGCCCAGCGAGCGGACAAAGAGTAAACCTCAAAGGGGCTTTCACTTATAACTAAAGATTATTTATTGTACAGCTTGAAAAAATGAAGTTTAACAGTTGAAGCTCGTTTGTGTTAACAATTAAAGCAACCCTGATATCCAGGGTGTTTGCCCTTTAAGTTAACTTGTTTACCAAAGCTAACAACACATGAAAAGCTTCCGCCTCCGAATCATCAAACGCATTCAGTTAGAACATAAGAGCCATTATTGTAACCCGAGAAAAGCCAGAATTCAGTGATAAAATAGTCCAAATGCAATTTCTAAATGGAGCCTTGTACGTTGATTTTACCTGAGGACACGAAGAGCAGAGTTAGTAGCAGCATGACTGCGCTGTTTCCAGTCGGTTTGTGTTTGTCGGTGGTTGAAGGAGGAAACTGCAGAACTGGAGCTGAGCTCAATCTTTAATGATGGCTCACAGTCAGCTGACTCAGACATGTGACCCTCAGTCAGCAACTGATGAGCACGATGTCAAAGATCAACTCTTTGTTAACATTTTGGAATCTAAAAATATATATTATTGCACAGCTCTTTAATTGATTAGGTTTTATTTGATGTTGAATGCCTTATTAAGTTCTACTAATCTCCAGAAAAAGGCTTCCAGAAAACTGCAAAACAGATGAAACACTGAGTTCCTTTAAATTAAGGTTAAATTCCTACCTGTTCCAGCAGAGCCAAGCTCAAATCGTGCCAGTGGCAGCTGAAGAGGTACTTCACAGCCACTGGCTGCCATAAGCTGGATCAGGCTTAGAAATGCACGTCTGCTGAGAAATGCATGCCCTGTTGCAGGGACGCATACGCCGTGAACTCTCGCATATTGATCAGTAAACAGACCGAATAGGCGATTTTTAAAAATACTCATAACATTATTGTCTCTTAACCATGTAAGGTTTTATTTCGCACATAAATTGAAATATGATTTTGACACCTTTATTGAGACATATGAGTAGAATGATTTATCCATCCATCCATCCATCCATCCATACATACATACATACATACAGCCATACATCCATACATATACATATCTTTTCACCCTTGTCCCAAGTGGAGTCGGGCCTATCTCCAGCTAACGTTCCAAGCGAGAGGTGGGACACACCGTGGACAGGACGGCAGGCTGTCGGAGGGCAGAGACAGAACACAGAGACAGACAGGACAAACAAACACGCACACACTCACACCTTGGGAGAATGTTTTTGAACTGTGGGAGTCCAAAAACAACACACACACACACACACACACACACCCACACACATATATATATATATATATATATATATATATATATATATATATATATATATATATATATATATAGTTTTGCAAGATACTGGCAGGGAAAGCGTACATGGAGCGACATAACCAAGTGGCAGGCATTGTGTACAGAAACATCTGTGCAGAATATGGACTGGAAACCCCGAGATCAAAGTGGGAAACACCCCCAAAGGTGGTAGAGAACACCAGAGCTAAGATCCTGTGGGACTTCCAGATCCAGACAGACAAAATGGTAATGGCGAACCAACCAGACATTGTCGTAGTGGATAAAAATCAGAGGAAAGCCGTTGTGGTAGATGTAGCAATACCAAGTGATTGCAACATCAGGAAAAAGGAGCACGAGAAACTGGAGAAATACCAGGGCCTCAGGGAAGAACTGGAGAGGGCCTGGAAGGTGAAGACCACAGTGGTGCCTGTGGTCATCGGGGCCCTCGGGGCAGTAACCCCCAAACTGGAGCAGTGGCTACAACAGATCCCAGGAACAACATCAGACATCTCAGAGGCCTGGGAGCTTGAGGGTCCTGCAGTATCTTGGCTGTGCCAAGGACTGCACATTTCTGGACTGAGATGTCTGATGTTGTTCCTGGGATCTGTTGTAGCCACTGCTCCAGTTTGGGAGTTACTGCCCCGAGGGCCCCGATGACCACAGGCACCACTGTGGTCTTCACCTTCCAGGGCCTCTCCAGTTCTTCCCTGAGGCCCTGGTATTCTCCAGTTTCTCGTGCTCCTTTTTTCTGATGTTGCAGTCACTTGGTATTGCTACATCTACCACAACGGCTTTCCTCTGTTGTTTATCCACTACGACAATGTCTGGTTGGTTCGCCATTACCATTCTGTCTGTCTGGATCTGGAAGTCCCACAGGATCTTAGCTCTGGTGTTCTCCACCACCTTTGGGGGTGTTTCCCACTTTGATCTCGGGGTTTCCAGTCCATATTCTGCACAGATGTTTCTGTACACTATGTTCTTGCCATTGAGCTGGCTTCTCAGGACTTGCCTTATTCGTTGGAGGTATTTAGCTGTGGCTCCTTTCCTTGTGACCTCATCGAGGTTGCCATTTGCTTGTGGTATACCTAGGTACTTGTAACTGTCCTCTATGTCTGCTATTGTTCCTTCTGGGAGTGAGACGCCTTCTGTGCGGATGACCTTCCCCCTCTTTGTGATCAGCCGACCACTTCTCTAGTCCGAATGACATCCCAATGTCCGTGCTGTAGATCCTGGTGGTGTGGATCAGTGAGTCGATGTCTCGCTCACTCTTGGCGTACAGCTTGATGTCATCCATGTAGAGAATGTGACTGATATTGGCCCCGTTTTTGAGTTGGTATCCGTAGCCAGTCTTGTTGATAATTTGGCTGAGGGGGTTCAGGCCTATGCAGAACAGGAGCGGGGACAGAGCATCTCCTTGGTATATGCCACATTAGATGGACACTTGTGCAAGTGGTTTGCAGTTGGCTTCAAGGGTGGTTTTCCACAGCCTCGAGTTTGCAATGAAGGCTCTCAGAGTCCTATTGATGTTATACATCTCTAAGCATTCAATGATCCAAGTATGCGGCATTGAGTCATAGGCTTTCTTGTAATCAATCCATGCCATGCACAGGTTGGTGTGTCGGGTTTTGCAGTCTCGGGCAAATGTGTGGTCTACGAGGAGTTGGTGTTTGGCTCCTCTGCTATTTACACCGATACCCTTCTGTGCCGTGATCATGTGTTTATCCATGTGTTGCTTATCTTGGCCGCTATGATGCCTGACATGATGCCTGACATGAGCTTCCATGTTGTGGAGAGGCAGGTTATTGGTCGGTAGTTGGGTGGGACTGGACCCTTTGTTGGACCCTTCTGGATTAGGATTGTTCGCCCTTCAGTTAACCATTCAGGGTGAGTCCCACTTTGTAGCAGCTGATTCATTTGGGCTGCCAGTCGCTCATGGAGAGCAGTGAGTTTCTTTAGCCAGTAGGCATGGATCATGTCAGGCCCTGGTGCTGTCCAGTTTTTCATACCTGAGACTCTTTCTTGGACATCTGTCACAGTGATGGTTACCAGGGCTTGCTCAGGGAGGTTGCTGTGGTCCTCTCGTAGAGAGATCAGCCACTGTGCATTGCTGTTGTGGGACGCCTCCCTTTACCATATGCCTTTCCAGTATTGTTCAGTCTCCAGGCTTGGTGGGTCTGCTCTGTTGTTATTACCCTGCCATTGAGAGTACACCTTAGCTGGTTGAGTGGAGAAGAGCCGGTTAATCCTTCTGGATTCATTCTCCTTGTGTATCTCTTTAGGCGGCTGGCCAAGGCTTGGAGCCTCTGTTTGGCAGTTTCGAGTGCTTCAGGTATGGGGTATCTGCCTGTACTTTCTGGGTACTGGTCTTTTCATTGCACCCTTGTGGAGCTCTGATAGTTGCCTCACTTCCCTCCTTGTTACCTTGATTTTAGCCTCTAACCGTCTTTTTCATGGTGGGTATTGGGTCTCATGGTTGCTCTTATAGCCAAGCATCTCAAGAATCACTGATGCTGAGTTGTAGACGAGACCTGATGCAATCAGACAAAACCTGACCAGAACAGACAAGAATTGACCAGACCCAGACCCTTTCAGACCCAGATCCAACCAGACCCCAGATCTGACCAGATCCGACCCAACCACTCCCAGACCAGAGCCGACCAGACCAAATTGGACCCTGACCAGTGCCAGACCCAGACCAGATCCGGCCCAAACATACTTTGTCGAACACAAGTGTTTTGCAACACTTTCCCTCTGTTTCACACACTTCTGTGAATTGAAGGCAATCTGCTGTGACTTCTCTCTGGTGTCTGAGTCCCAGGTGGCTGAGAATCAGGTGTATTCTTTGACCCTTTGACGTGCCTAATAATTCTTTCATGTTGCACTTTAATGACATTTGCCGGGTCTGGCTCGAAACTGGGACTAGTTTTGAGGCTGGTACCAGCGTCAAGACGAGGACAAGTGCCATAATTAAGACAAATTTTTAAAACCTTGCAAGATTCATTGGGTTTGGTCGGTGGCTTAGGTTGGGGACGAGCAGTGTATTTGATCCAGGTGTATTTAAGCTGAAATTCATCTAAAATTTGCAGGATAGTAGCCTTTGAGAACTGGACTTGGAGACCCAAAGAGGCAAGCATGTAGCTACTCGACAGTGGGGAGATTTTGTTATTTTTACTGTATTAATTTAACTTTTTATCCATTTGTATACAAGTTGATTTCTCATATCCACCCACTTGTTATGCACATTTTATAGCATAACAGAATCTGTGGGGATAGGGTCATTTAAAAAAATCAATCAAGTGTCATGTTTGTGAACTTTAGGAGAAGCCGGAGCACCCGGAGAGAACCAACAGACAAGACAAAGACAAGATGAGAAGACAGGAAATGAGATTAAATTGCACAATTGGGGGAAGTTTTAGGAAGGATTTAGAAGTTTCTCTTATTCAGCACATGTAACTCCTATACAAATATATCAGCAGAGTTTTGTAGAGCCTGACTACATGCAAGTGCTCATGGTTTACATGAATTAAATGGCAGTTTTGGCATTTAATTCAAGTGTGAAGGAAACGGAGTACATAAAAGCTGCTGGACTCAGGTTCTTGAGGACTGCAGATTGAGACCACTGCTTTAGATACTTTAATCAATTGAAGGGAGTTTTGGAATTTATAGGTGGTAGAGAACCATCTTTTGGCATTGGGACATGCCTGACTATACGTGCATGTTGCAGTTTGATGACATTTTTTGGGTCTGGCTCAAAACTGGGACGCGTGTCAAGACTGGTACCAGCGACAAGACCGGGACAAGTGTCATAACTGGGACAAATGTTTAAAACCCTGCAAGAATCACCAACTTTGGGAGGTGGCTTGGGTTTCCTAAATTTGCTTTGGATGTATTGTACATCCAGCCCCCTGTCTTGAGCCTTCTGCAATTCAGTCTTCATGTATTCCTTAATGGTGTCTGAAGGATTAGTGAAACTGTGATGAAGACTCCGCTGTTCCGCCATGTCCGTGTTTTTCTTATTTCTCTCTTTGGCACGCTTCTCTGCCGCCATTCGAAGGTTGAATTCGGAACAGTCGAGGGTGATTTGTCGTTTTTGTTGGTACTTTTTTTCTTCTTCAGCCGCATACAACTTGTCAGCCTCCCTCATTTCATAAAGCCTTTTTCTGCTTTTCTCTTTGTCAGTTTGTTTCTCCTCTAGTTTCTCTCTCGCTAGATAAGTATTTGTTTCCAAAAGAGATTTTTCCGTAGTAGCCTTTCTCTCCTGTTCTTCCTCCTCTCGCTGTTTTTCTTTCATCCTCCTTTGTATGTCGAGTTTGTTGATTCTATTCTCTCTTGAAGCCAACTTGGAATTTTCCTCTTTTTTTATCTCTGCAAGCTTGTCATACACGTTTTGTATCTTCATCTGAGTCTCTCTTAATCTGTCGGCCTTATATTTTTCTGAATTTCTAGTGGTCGAGAGAAAATCCCCCCAATTCCCTGTGTCCTCCTTGCGAGATATTTCCAACTGCTCCATTTTAGAGCGTATTTGCTTAATAGGATTTTGCTGAAGGCAATCCCTTTCCATTTCCCTCCGTTTCTCTCTGTCTTCATTTTCCCTTTGGTTTATGTATGCATCTTTGAGCATAATTTGCCTTGTCTCCTCATGTCCAAGTAGTCGTTTCTGTTCTGCAATTTGTTTATGTTCACGCATCTGGCCAATGTACTCGTCAGCGTTAGCCCGTGTGGTCTGTTTCCGTTTGATCTCTTCATTTTTAATCCGTTCATCAGCAGCGTTGTTCCAAGAATTGATCTCCCCACTTTCTTTTGCAAGTTTTTCTGCAGCTGTCCTCTTGTCTCGCTGATATGCCGCCAAAACTTTGTTGAATTCTTTTATCCCTTGCTTACTGAGTTCTCTGTTAAAATTCTCCACACCCTTGTCTCGTTGCATCATTTTGTATTTGCTCTTTTCAATGAGGGCACGTTGTTCTTGTTCTACGAACTGCCTTTCTTCTTCAGCAATCCGGTCAAATCCTTGCTCTTTTGCAAGTTTTTCTGCTTCTTTCTTTGCTACATGTTTAGTGCGTTTTGCCTCCAAAATCTCAAATTTTGGTCGCAAGCGATCAAAATTCTTTTGACAATTTTCACCGACAAGATCATTTGCTCTTGACATTTGCTGAATTGTATACCAACAGTATGATGGTAGGATGACTGTATTTCTCTTCATTTTTTAGTGAAAGTTTTTCACAATAACCAGAAAAAGCAGGTCTAAGTTAAATCCAAGAAATTCAACTCACAGACTGGTTCTAATTCAGTGTGTACACTTCACCGCGATCCGAAGTAGAATGGAGTGCAGTGAAATTCAGTTCTTTGAAGTGACTCAGAACTAGCTTCACAGAAGTAAACTTTATGACATCACTGTGACATATGACATCATCAGACTGTCATCTGTTCAATGACATTACAAACTTGCATTTCGCATCTAGGAACATTTTCAGAATCTAAAGCATTATTCTTTAGTAATTCAAATTCAAAATTCTAATGTCACTGAAAGTACGGAGATACTCCAACGTGCTGCAACCCTGAGCAGCACAATTCTAGAAACAGGTCAGGTTACAGGTTAAGCAATAAAACTGTTCAAAGTGCTTTACATAAAAAAAACTAAACAAAAGTCAAAAATACAGTCATTGAACAAGCAGTCATTGTAATTAAAACAATGATTTTAGTCATTGTCATTCCTAAAATTTCCTTTGAGGTATTTAATATTTGTTTCTAGAATTGTGCTGCTCAGGTTTGCAGCACGTTCGAGTATCTCTGTACTTTCAGTGACATTAGAATTCAGAATTTGAATTAATAAAGAACCATACGTTTAATTCTGAAACTGTTCCTGCCTGGAGAGTGCATGTTTGTAATGTCGTTGAACAGATGACAGTCTGATGATGTCATATGTCACAGCGATGTCACAAAGTTACTTCTGTGATGCCAGTTCTGAGTCACTTCAACGTACTGAATTTCACTGCACTGCGTTCTTCTTCAGATCGCGGTGAAGTGGACACACTGAATTGGAACTAGTCCATGAGGTGAGTTTCTTAGATTGATAAGAATTAGACATTTCTGGATTTAACTTAGACCTGCTTTTTGCGGAAAGAACTTTGGGATTCTGGTTATTGTGAAAAACTTTCACTTAAAAATGAAGAGAAATACAGTCATCCTACCATCATACTGTTGGTATTCAATTCAGCAAATGTCAAGAGCAAATGATCTTGTCGGTGAAAATTGTCAAAAGAATTTTGATCGCTTGCAACCAAAATTTGAGATTTTGGAAGCAAAACGCACTAAACACTTATCAAAAAAAGAAGCAGAAAAACTTGCAAAAGAGCAAGGATTTGACGAGGTTGCTGAAGAAGAAAGGAAGTTCATAGAACAAGAACAACGTGCCCTCATTGAAAAGAGCAAATACAAAATGATGCAACGAGACAAGGGTGTGGAGAATTTTAACAGAGAACTCAATAAGCAAGGGATAAAAGAATTCAACAAAGTTTTGGCGGCATATCAGCGAGACAAGAGGACAGCTGCAAAAAAACTTGCAAAAGAAAGTGGGGAGATCAATTCTTGGAACAACGCTGCTGATGAACGGATTAAAAATGAAGAGATCAAACGGAAACAGACCACACGGGCTAACGCTGACGAGTACATAGGCCGGATGCGTGAAAATAAACAATTTGCAGAACAGAAACGACGACATGGACATGAGGAGACAAGGCAAATTATGCTCCGAGATGCATACGTAAACCAAAAGGAAAATGAGGACAGAGAGAAACGGAGGGAAAGGGAAAGGGATTGCCTTCAGCAAAATGTTATAAGACCAAAACTCTCTAAAACGGAGCAGTTGGAATTATCTCGCAAGGAGGACCCAGTGAATTGGGGGGATTTTCTCTCAACATCTAGAAATCCAGAAAAATATAAAGCTGACAGATTAAGAGAGACTCAGATGAAGATACAAAACGTGTATGACAAGCTGGTACAGATAAAAAATCAGGAAGCTTCCAGATTAGCTTCAAGGGAGCAGAGAATGAGGAAAGTTGAGGAAGAAATGAGGTTGAAAGAAAAACAGCGTGAGGAGGAAGAACAGGAGAGAAGGGCTGCAATGGAAAAATCTGTCTTTGAAACAAATACTTATCTAGCGAGAGAGAAACTAGAGGAGAAACAAACCGGCAAAGAGAAGAGCAGAAAAAAGCTTTATGAAATGAGGGAGGCTGACAAGTTGTATGCGGCTGAAGAAGAACAAAAGTACCAACAAAAACGACAAACCACCCTCGACTGTTCCAAATTCAACCTTCGAATGGCGGCAGAGAAGCGTGCCAAAGAGATATATAAGAAAAACACGGACATAGAAGAACAGCGGAGTCTTCATCACAGTTTCACTGATCCTTCAGACACCATTAAGGAATACATGAAGACTGAACTGCAGAATGCTCAAGACAGGGGGCTGGATGTACAATACATCCAAAGCAAATTTAGGAAACCCAAGCCACCTCCCAAAGTTGGTGATTCTTGCAGGGTTTTAAACATTTGTCCCAGTTATGACACTTGTCCCGGTCTTGTCGCTGGTACCAGTCTTGACACGCGTCCCAGTTTTCAGCCAGACCCAAAAAATGTCATCAAACTGCAACATGCACGTATAGTAAAGCATGTCCCAATGCCAAAAGATGGTTCTCTACCACCTATAAATTCCTACACTTCCTGCAATTGATTAAAGTATCTAAAGCAGTGGTCTCAATCTGCAGTCCTCAAGAACCTGACTCCTGCAGCTTTTATGTGCTCCGTTTCCTTCACACTTGAATTAAATGCCAAAACTGCCATTTAATTCATGTAAACCATGAGCACTTGCATGTAGTCAGGCTCTACAAAACTCTGCTGTTACAACAGTGTAAGAATTAGATGTGCTGAAGGAGAGAGACGTCTAAAGGTTTCAGAAGACTGTCCTTTCAGGACCGGAGTTTGAGACCCCTGCTCTAAAACTTCCCCCAATTATGCAATTTAATCTCATCTCTTCATCTCTTGTCTTGTCTTGTCTTGTCTTGTCTTGCCTTACCTTGTCTTGTCTTGTCTTGGCTTCTCATCTAGTCTTTGTCTTGTCTGTCCGTTCTCTCCGGGTGCTCTGGCTTCTCTTAAAGTCCACAAACAGGACGCTTAATTGATCTCTTTAAATGACCCTATCCCCATAGATACCAATATACTATAAAATATATGTAGAAAATGGATGGATAATAGAAATTAACTCATTTCAACTGGATAAAAACGTGTGCATCTTGGGGTTCTCAAGTCCAGTCCTCAAGGGCTACCATCCTGCAACTTTTAGATGCATCTATGCTCAAACACACCTGGATCAAATAAACTGCTTATTACCGACCTATTGCAGAGCTGAATTCAGACATTCCCTCGTTTTTGGAGCAGACATGCATCTAAAAGTTGCTGGATGGTCGACCTTGAGGACTGGACTTGGGGACCCCTGGGTCATACTATTAACAGGTTGGTAGTTTATAAAAAATATAATAAAATCAGACTAAGTCTCTATGTTTAACAGTATAACTTAAATTTGCATACAAAATCCTTGTTTGTTTGTTAATTTACTGATTTATTTTCATTTTTCTATTTTAGACATGGTCAAAAGATCCTTGCTAAATAAGCCAATTCTCCACACCCTTCTCAACAACCTCTCTGGAGTCATATAATTGACAATCAATCATGCAATAAACTGACCTTATTAGGTCCCCAAAAGGAAATTCATTTGCAAAAATTAGTTGGGGCGGCCAACACATTCATACAAACTTTTACACTGCAATTGATGAAACAAAATAAGATCTTTCTGACGAATATCAAAAAATAAAATTTGACAAAGAATACATAAAATCATGAGCTAAAATGATGCTAGACAGCAGCAATTCGATAACAACTTAAAGTTAGGGCTAACCTGATCATTGCCTCCCTGTGTTACTCTGCTCAATTCAAATCTGGTTTATAGCTCTGTCTCGGCTTTCTCCCATTAATTTGGATTTCTCCAACAGTCATCTTGTTTAGTTTAACACTTAAAGAGTGAGGGATGGCTATTTACATCACAGACAATAACCAGTAAGTTTCTTAACTGAATTGGTGCATTACATGTCACAACCAAACATGATACACAGCTCTACATTAGATTGCCTTGTCTTAGAACCCATCAAGTCACTGAACAGATGCTTTGACCAGATAAATGTGTGGATGTGCCAAAACTTTCATCAGTTGAACAGAAACAAAACTGAAGTTATCTTTGGACCTAAGGAGGGACTATAGAGTCAATGCACAGCTTCAGTTATTACAATTAAAAACCCTGAACCGTCAGTCACATAAAGACAGTTACAAAGTTGGCCTTCTGTCACCTGAAGAACATTTCCCGGATAAGAGGACTAATGTCTGAGTGAGATCTAGAGTCACTCATCCATGCATTTATCTTTAGTCGCATTAATTACTGCAACAGCGTCTTTACAGGTCTGCCCAAAAAAATCTATTAGACAGCTGCAGCTGATCCAGAACGCTGCTGCTGGTGTTCTGACTAAATCCAGGAAGATAGAGCAAGTCACTTTACACTGTCTCCTATGCATATTTTTAATGAATAATAAAGAGCAGTTTCAAACTTAATAACACTACAAAACCATTAATATATCATTTTTTGCAATTTGTATTTTTTTCATCTTGTATTGTTTCTTTTCATTCATTGGTCCTCATTTCTTTATGTAGCTTTTACATCAGGAATAATAACTTGTTAAATAAAATGTTGGGAATTTCTTGTGCCCTTCTTCTATATTACATCTTTAAACGTCACAATTGATCTATGTTTTACTCACTATGGAAAGAATACTTGCTGTAAATGTCACAAGAAACGCACTTGAGAAATTCCTTTGCCAAATGTTTTTATTTTTTTGTAAAAAATATTTTTTTATTCTATTGAGGTCCAAATAAAAAAAAAAGAACTAAAAAACAAAGGCATATCTTGTAAGTACATCTACCTGGGTGTCACGGTTATGCTTTTTAAGGTGTGGCTTTCATCAAGCGTCACAACTGCCTGGAAACTTTCTTGGAAAACCCCAAGCAAAGCCCGGTTCATAATTAGCAAGACTGGTTTTCTTGAGGAAATTCTGAGGCAGTTTTTTTAAAAATCATTTCTTGAACAACTGTCATCTGGTATGGATGTCTACTAGCAGAGTCTTACATTTACAAAAAAGAACTACCCACAGAGTGTGTGAAAACATGAACTGGCTAAATATCACATGCCCCACACTGTCTGCAATAAACTTCAATCAGAGAAAAGGAAATAGTAATTTATTTCATTACATATGCAATAATATCACATCCAACAGCTGTGGGCAGCATGTTCTTCCATCCTCATGAGCAGTGAAGCCTGTGAAACAAACATTACATATAGTTAAAGAATAATAATCAGCACAGAATAAAGTAACAGCAGGTAAGAAAACATGTAAACATTTCTGTATAAATCCGTTTCTACAAGTGATTCAAAGTGAGCAACATGTTCATTTATAGTGCAGCACAAGAACTTCTTATTCTCAACAGCATAGGACGGTAAGTACATCTAAATTAAAACTGTGCAAAGAATATGATGAAGGGATGTGGTATCTGAAAATAAGAACAGCAACATGTGCTCCATTGTGGCTTAATTAAGAAGAAAACATCTTCCTGTTTCTTGAGGAGAGATTTGGTTTTCTCACATTTCTAAATCTGTCACAGCTGAGGTCATCTCTGCTTAGTGAGGCATAAAAGTCAGAAGAAACAGGAAATGTTGAATAAAATAGTCCATCTTGTCCCCATGTGTTTTTCAAACAGAAAAATTAGCTTTTTATAAATCAGGTAAAACTGCATCAATACATATTAATGACTGACAATCTCAGTTTAAACATAATTGTTTGATCTGAAAATATAAGTTTAGGTCCATTGTCTTTCTTATATTTGAAGAATGTCTCCATAACATTATGCTGATGGTAGAAGACGAATAAAGCTTGAGCATAATCTTCAAGGAAGCCGTATTTATATTAAACCAAATGTGAGTCAGTTTCACTCGGACTCCCACACTAAACCTTTTCAAAACATCTGCAAGCAGAAATTACATTTAGAAAGACTGTTAGCCTTGTACAGATGTTTATATTTTGATCAGCTTTAGAAGGAAAAATCTTGTAAATTATGATACACAGCTTGATACAATTAATCCCTCTGGCTGAGCTTTTCACATTGTTCACAGCCTAATAGTTTTTTGTTTTGTTTTTTATTTGCATCAGCTGATCACAGATTATACAGTTAAATGCCTTTTAATTATGTTTCTAAACCTGAAATATATTAAAAAAAAGAGATTAATGTGTGCCATGTTTACAAAATGCTTTACATAATTTCAAAGCAAATCTTTTAGACATAAATTCTGTATTTTAATTCAACGTTATGTGTGCCGTTTACCATCAAGCAAGCATATAGTTTACGGTTTCTACAGTTACAGATCAGATCACCCGCAAAAGCCTGCATGTCCGCCTCTGGCAGAGTTCTGATTTTTCAGCTTTGAGAGACTCAGATTATTTTTCTAAGGACCAAAACCGCAATCAAGCTCACTTCTATGTTGATCTGATAAAAAAAATTAAAGAATGTGCTGAAAGTTCCTTGATAGAGCTGATAAGAAAAACAAGAAATTACATTATTCGCTATTTATGCATTAAAGCAAACATTACTTTTATTTGACTTTGACTCAACTCAAAAGAAAGCACAACAAAGAACATATTGGTTTTTGATCTATTTATAGATTAAAATCAGTAGGAGTTTTAGTTTTGATCTATTCAAATGAAAAAAAAGGACAAAAATCTGATTATTTTGAATTTAATCTGTCGATCACTGATTTGAGCCTATCAATGGAAACTTGGATAATGCCGGGGATAAGTAAACATATTATAGGTTTCACTCTATATTTTTACCTCAGTTTATGCATCAAATATGAATAAAATATACATGTTAATGGTTACATTATTCCTACTGTTCAATAGATTAAACATTAACCATTAAAGGGCAGTGTAACTTGTAATATTTATTATTTTACTGATGTTCATCATAACTTGAGCATCTTATACCAGACCAAATTTGAATTTAAGAACTCAAGGAACACGAAATAAACACAAAATAAAAACTGAAAAGTGAAGAGAAAATTGTGTGCCTTTTTTTCTAAATAAAGTGCAAAATATATATAATTTGAGGGGAAATCTAAACAATTTTTTGAGGTAGTGTTGAGAAAATACAACTCTTTGCATAAAAATAATATAAAATGATATAATTCTATTTTATATCATTTTTATTATTATTTTTATCAATCCCCACACCTCTAAGGCAAGAGTTAAATTGGGACTTTCCACTTTTCTTCAATAGTTAACATCTACACAACTCAAATTAATCATTGTTTGTTGCTATGCGCAATTCATCACCTGCGTTATTGGAGAGATAAAAAAAAGTGAATGACGTTATTGTGAGGGGCCACAGCAGCTGCTTTTGGGCTCCTGCTCTTCCTTCTTCATCACCGTAGATCTCACCACGTCCACGTCACGATGCAGGTGGTTGAGCAAGTGGTCGAGGATGTTTGGAGAACAATAAAAGTCCACCAGAAAGTAAGTCCCTCTGCTGTGCCTCTGATTGTGTTTTGTCATCTTGTAAGGCAGCAGCCTCTCTCCCAGGCTCTCCAGGTCCCTCACCACCGCGCCGCGCTCCATCAGGGTCTCCACCGAGCGCCGGACGGCGGCCGCCGTCTCCGGTCGCTGCATCGCCTTCAGGATCAGAGCCAGCTCATAGCGAGGCATGGCTGCTGTGAAGTGGTCCTCTTTTCAAGGTTTCAGTCTGGTTAACAGCAAGTAGGTGTCATTGCAGTGAAGGCGACCATGTTGTGACACGAGGGACTCGGAAGGACTTCCGAAACACGCATGCGCATAACCTCCAAAGAGCACAAATAATTATAAAAATAAAAATGGAATTTGAAAAATTATATCAAACTAGTAAAAATGTATATCTAAGTAAAATCCTGCAGTAAAAATGTACCTATTGGAATAAAAATACATTCTGTGACATTCTTTGAAGTTCGGAAAATAAACTAGCGGTTGAGGTCTCACTCTGTCCGAAATAGAAAGAAACAAAACTTTTAAGAGATACTTCAAATAGAAAAAAATATTAAAGGCATCTTACATATTTTATTGAATGTGAAACACTGTTTGATTAATTTTAATACCACACTGTCAGCAAGAACTGTTACCAGTTTTCTGAAAATGTTTTTTTTTTCTCGAAAGGAGGCAGCCATCGCCTCAGAGAGTCGTCTGTTTACGTCATCTTGAGGCGCCTGCGCGCTTCGGTCACTTCCTCTCTGTCCTAAGAGCGTGGTAAAGATGGCGGAGCCAAACTCTGTCCCGAGTGATCTCTATAAATGCGTTTATTCGTTCCTGCTGGAGAACAAGTTCACCAAGGCGGCTCAGCAGTTCCTCAAGCAGACTAAAGTTGTAAGTATCTCACGTCTGTTGTTTTGCAGGGTTGAGGGTTTATAAACTGAACGCACAGGTAACGTGGGGGGCCTGGTGGAATTAACACGTGCAGCTGTGTTGTAGTCTCCACCTGTTTTAGAGAAAATGCATTAATTTTACGTATTTGTGAAAGTATGAAAAAGAAACGAGTCGATATGTGTAGTTGTGATTGAGACAATTCTTTGAAATGAAAAACCATGTTGCATTTTCTTGCTTCTTCCAGATTCCACAAGATCAAAATGAAGAAAGTCTGGTCAACATCTACAACTTCTGGGTGAAGTGAGTTGCCTTTCATTTTTACATTCTTTTTTATCAGTATTTCCTTTCTACTGAGAAAAGTCATCTTAGATCATACTGGCAATATCATTACTGCACTCTATTTGTTAAATATGGTAGAAAATTGCTGGTGCGCCCTTCATTTTCAGATTTATAAACTATCAAGAATGCTTGAATAAAATGCTACTGTTTTTCAGTTACTTTTGTAATAAAAATTCCAAAAATATTTCTCTGTAAAGTTAAATTTAAGTCCAAGTAAATACATTTTAATGCAGAAATTGTATGTTATGGCCATATTATGACCTGACAGTCTTCTTACAGGTTGACATTGACGCCATGTCTGTCTCACTGGTCCAATTAATGAAAAGCATCGTGGAAGGAAAAAAAAGTATGGCATGGAGAACCGCAGTCTTTAGAGCAAGAGTTTCAAGAGCCACAAGCCTCAACTATTACTTTTCTTTTTCTGAATTTTGGGGGTTTCATTGGCGCTAAATTATCGCCAATGAAACCAGATAAATTAGCGCTGGGTTTCAAAATTAGCGAAAAAAAGGACTTTCAGTATATGTAATGTTTTGAAGTACTGAATTGAAAGTCTCTTGTAATTTATCTGTAGCTTGCTGTATAGACTTGTGGACCTGAGGATATAACTCACTAAGGCGTTCTGTTTGAGCGTACCCCAATGGTTATAATTGGTGGTATTGAGTGAAATGAGTTAGTTGGAGCACCACAGGGTGCAGTGTTATTGTTGATGTATACAATGAATTGTAGAACCATTATGATCATTTTAAAATATTTGACAATACAAAAATTCCTAATGTGGGAGCTATATATTTTACAAATGGAGTGAATCATTTGAAAATTAAATTTTTTACTGATTTTATTAATGTGTTGAAAATCTGACGGTTTTGCCTCTTCTAAGGTTTCAACTTCGAGAAGTAGGAGATTGTGTAAATTCAAGATTTCCTGGTGAATAATCTAATTTCTCAGGAGTAATGGCATTCATTTTCCTCGATAAGGTCTCCTGAGGCCAGGAAACGGAAAGCAGCTCCAGCATCTGTTAATGGACCATCAGCCAAGAAGGCCAGGCCCACCGCAGAAAGCTCCAGCAGTGAGGACTCAAGTGACTCTGAAGAGGAGAAGAAGGCTCCTGCAAAGGTGGGAATCAAAACTTTGATTCTGAAACTCAACATTTTTGCAGGATTTTCAACTGCACTCAGTTTCTAAAATTAAATTTTACGTATGCAGACTGCGGTTAAGGCTGCGCCTGCTGCTGCAGCGGCTAGCAGCACGAGGAAGAAGGACAGCAGCTCTAGCAGCGAAGAGTCGGACTCTGAAGATGAGCAACCTGCCAAAGCTCCTGCAGCGAGTAAGTCAGAAGATGGCAAGAGTTAAACAGCGTAAAGCTCATAATGGAAATGACTTTGCATGCATTTTGCTTTTAACAGAAGTCGTTGCAGCAGCTAAAGCAGCTGCTCCTGCTCAGAAGAAGCAGGAGAGCAGCAGTGAAGACAGCTCCTCTGAGTCTGAGGATGAACCACCAGCAAAGGTAAACAGGAAAAAAGTTCTCCAACCATCATTGTAGAAATGTATTGAAACATTTAATAATGGTTGAGTGTGTGTTTCTGTAAGGCTCCTGCTAAAGCTGCTCCAGTAAACAAAGCTGCAGCTAAAGCTGCTCCAGTAAACAAAGCTGCAGCTCCTGCTGAGTCCAGCAGTGAAGACTCTTCATCTGAAGACGAAACTCCACCAAGCAAAAAACCCAAACCAGGTTTGATTTTGTTTTTAAACTTTTATTTACTTACAAACAACAATCTGTCCATCCATCCAATTTTTTTCCATCTACTCCATCATCGACTTCTTTACAGTTTTGCAACTTCCATAATAGAAGCTTAACCACTAGAGACACATCTGTGATAAATAAATATTAATGTCGATATGAAAAATGTAAAGGATGTTTGTTCCTGCAGTCCTTTGTGACCTGATAGTAAATGTCCACCTCTGTCCTGTCAGGACCGTACAGCGCTGTCCCTCCTCCTGCCTCCATCCAGAAGGCTTCTGCTGCAGCTGCTGCTAGCAAAGCCAAGGCCAGTGAGTCCTCAGAGAGCAGCGATGACAGCAGTGATGAAGAGGAGGAGAAAAAGAAGAAGGTGGCTGGTAAGTTTCTCAGCTTTCTCAGTCTGACTTGTCAAGAATTTAACTAGTGACTAAACGGTTACATAATTACAGTAAAACCTGCTCCTGTGAAGAAAACCACCACAAAACCTGCAGCGACCAAACCTCCAGCAAAGAAGCAAGAGTCCAGTTCAGAGAGCTCCGGTAATGATCCCAGAACCCAAACGTTTTGTACTCTAGTTCATGTGAAGCTCAACAGATGAAATACATTTTTTGTATTCTTAGATTCAAGCTCAGATGAAGAAGAAGCCAAGAAGCCTGCGGCTAAAGCAACGCCGGCTAAAGCAACGCCGGCTAAAGCAAAGGCGGCTAAAGCAAAGGACTCTGAGGAAGACTCAAGTTCAGATGAGGAGGAAGACGAGGTGAAGAAACCTGCAGCAAAGACTCCTCCTGCCAAACCTGCTGCTGCTAAAGCTGCTGCTACGAAAGCTGCTGCCAGGAAAGCTGCTGCTACGAAAGCTGCTGCTAAAAAGGATTCCTCCTCTTCCTCAGAGGATTCCAGCTCAGAGGAGGAACAGAAGGCGGTTAAAAAACCAGCAGCCAAAGCTCCTCCTGCAAAAACCGCTGCAGCAAAGAAAGACAAGACCTCGAGCTCAGGTGACGAATGCTGAGAAGGAGCAGTTTAGAGCTGCAACTAACAATTAGTTTAATAATCGATTGTTAAAATTGACACATCTGCTAATTTTTTTTTTCCTGATTTTTTTTCACCTCTTAAGCTATTTTATACAATTTTAGAAATGCATTAAAAGAGGCAGTTAAACAAATTTCCTTTGAAACTAAATATTTTATTTTCCTGCTCCGGGTGAAGCTAAAACTATGAAGCCACTTGAAGAGTTAATGATAGAACATATTTACAGACAAAAGGCATTTTTATCTTAAATTTGTAATGTGTATATATTTTGTACAGTTTTGGCTTAATTACTTCTGAGTGTGTTTTTTAGCAACTTGCATTTTTTAAAATCTGTATAGTTGAGGTAACGATTAATTGATTACCTAATTATTTACCAAGCATTAATCATTTCAGCCGTAGAGTATTTCATGTCAGCCTCGTTTTGATGCAAATGTTTTGTCTCCCCAGAAAGCAGCTCTGAAGATGAGGCTCCAGCAAAGCCGCCCACTAAGGCCGTGATGCCGAAGGCCCGTCTTGCTGCCTCTAAACCCCCCGTCAAGGCAGCAGAGACGAGCTCAGACTCAGAGGATTCCTCTGACGAAGAAGACAAACCCCCAAAATCTAAGCCAGCTACTAAAGCAGCTGCTACTGCCCCAAAACCTGCTGCCCCAAAATCCGCTGCCCCAGCTGCAAAGCCTGCTGCGGCAGCAGACAGCAGCTCCGACTCTGACTCCTCCTCTGAAGATGAGCCGGCGAAGACCAAACAAACAACCCCTAAAGTGGCAACACCAGCTCCAAAAGCTTCAACTCCCGCAGCCAAATCTGCAGCAGCAGCAGAGAGCAGCTCAGACTCTGACTCATCAGACGAAGAAGAAGAGCCAGCTAAGGCGAAGCCAGCGTCAAAACCTGCAACACCTGCAGCCAAGACAGCTACCCCAGCCTCAAAGCCTGCAGGAAAACCTGCAGCTGAAAGCAGTTCTGACTCTGACTCTTCTGAAGATGAAGAACCAGCCAAGGCTAAACCAACAGCAACAAAAGCACCTACTTCAGCCTCGAAGCCTGCAGCTAAAACTGCAGCTGGAGGATCAAAACCTGCAACACCTGCAGGAAAACCTGCAGCAGAAAGCAGTTCTGACTCTGACTCTTCTTCTGAAGATGAAGAACCAGCCAAGGCTAAACTTACAGCAACTAAGACATCTACTCCAGCCTCAAAGCCTGCTGCTAAAACTGCAGCTGGAGCATTGAAGCCTGCAACACCTGCAGCTGAAAGCAGTTCTGACTCTGACTCTTCTGAAGATGAAGAACCAGCCAAGGCTAAACCAACAACAACAAAAGCACCTACTTCAGCCTCGAAGCCTGCAGCTAAAACTGGAGCTGGAGCATCGAAGCCTGCAACACCTGCAGGAAAACCTGCAGCATCCTCTGAAAGCAGCTCTGACTCTTCCTCTGAAGACGAAGAAGCAGCTAAACCCAAAATTGCAGTGACCAAAGCAGCAACCCCGGCTTCAAAGGCTGTGACTCCTGCAGCAAAAACTAGTAAAACAAAGAGCAGCTCAGAGTCTGACAGCTCAGAGTCATCAGAGGATGAAGTAGCCAAGAAACCAGCCTCCAAACCTGCTGCCACTGGGAAGGCCTCCAAACCTGCTGCCACTGGGAAGGCCTCCAAACCTGCTGCAACTGGGAAGGCCACCAAACCTGCTGCAGCGAAAAAGGCAGAAGAGAGCAGCTCTGACTCTTCAGATAGCTCTGACTCAGAAGAAGAGGCCTCTCCTGCTAAACCTGCAGCCACCAACGGCAAAGCTGCGACTCCTAAAGCTGCGACTCCTAAAGCAGCGACTCCTAAAGCTGCGACTCCTAAAGCTGCGACTCCTAAAGCTGCGACTCCTAAAGCAGCAGCAACTGTGGCGAAGGCAGCTGGTAAGCCTGCCGAGTCTTCGTCCAGTGACAGCAGCTCTGAGGAGGAAGCAGTTAGTAAACCTAGTCAAGTTAAAGCTGCTGCTGCACCAAAGAGCAAGACGACGGCGGCAGCCAAAGCCAAGGAGAGCAGCAGCTCCTCAGACAGTTCCTCAGAAGACGAAGCTCCGCGGAAAGCAGCCACGACTCCCCCCACTCCCACAGCCAACAGTGAGTTCTCTGCATGTTTGTCTCCAGCATCACATCATTTTGATCATCACTTGATCACTCAGGTGTACAAAAACATTCATACTTCTAAACCATCTAACCCCTCACTTCTTTATTTCTATCTTCTAAATTTGCTTTAAATGTATTAAAAACATTAAAACCTGTCTGTTGTGCTGCTTGGTCTTCATAAAGCTGATTATTTTTTTCTGTGGGCATTTGGAGCACAGGATTTAATTTTGCGGCATCAGAGTTAAAGGGATCTGAACATAAATGTACAGCACTGTTGGAGAAAACAATCCAAACTGCAAAGATTGAGCATAATCACAAGGTATCAAGAAAAATCCAAGTTTGAGAATAATGCTGAAGCCTCTGATTCATCCAGATACAAATGGAAAGAGGAAACATGATGAAGAGTCATCAGAAAGCGAAGAGGAGGAAGAGGCATCTGCAAAGACGCCAAAAAATAAGAAAGTAACGACCACACCGCAGACTTTCCCCAAAGCCAACAAGAAGGTAAAACCCGTGAAACTGATGGCGATACATTCAGATTTTATTGATGAGAAAATTGATGGAAATAACTTTGTTGCAGTCCTCCAATGTACCGTTTCGTAGAATAGTCGAAGAACATGTAGAAGTCGATCCCCGACTGGCAGATAACTCCTTTGAAGCTAAGGTGAGTTGAGATTTTTCTCAACGCTTCAATTTACCGTGGAAGTCTCTTTTTTTTTTTCCTAGTTTTTACGTTTTCATTTCTGCTTCTTCTCCCAGCATGGAGCCAATGGGGACTGGGGACAGAGAGCTAATGAGACTCTCAAGTTTACCAAAGGAAAGTCATTCCGCCACGAAAAGACAAAAAAGAAGAGAGGGAGCTACCGCGGCGGAGCCATTTCCACCTCAGTCAACTCCATCAAGTTTGACAGTGATTGATCTCTCTTAATCCAGCTGAAACCCAGCTGTGTGCTCAGGAATCTCTTGTTTGGTCCCTCAGCCCTTTGAGACGGTCTGATGAGCATCACCTGAGCAACTGAGCCCAGTTGGCACTTACTGTACTCATCTACCTTTGGTCTTTGATCTGATTCAAGGTGTGATATTACTTATGGCCACTAGGTGGCTGCAGGCCACCAATTGATGGTACAGAGCTGACAGTTATGTTAACCTGCCCCTCTGTCTCAAACGATTCGTGTCCTGTAACTTTCATTCTATATATTTAATTGTCAATGATCTCTCAGTGAATGACAGCCATCCAACCTATCAGGCTCAGTATGTGGTTATTTTTTTTGGTAATGGATCTGAGGTATAGTTAAATTTAGATTTGGAGCAGGGAGTGTCTGGGCTTTTCCCCTCTTACAATCACAGTAAACATTAAAGTTTTATACTGTATTTATAGTAAAATTTTATTCCATGTGGGATTATTAGAGCCATCAATTTCTGCTCCATGCTTTTTCTAGAGGAACTTTTGTTTGGATCCTGTTTGTTTTGATGAGAGGATGCTCGTTAACCCTCCATTTTGTTCATTAGTGATAATGAATTCCTAGTAAAGTTGAGATCCATCTTTTCAGTGTAATGTTGGCGCTTCTATGTTTAGTTTAGTTTTTTTTTTTTTTTTTTTTTTTTACTATTCTAACTTTAAATAAAAGTCTGACATTCAAATATTTTAAGGGATTCTGATGCTTAAAAATGTATTTTTCATACTGAAACGAATTGAACAATTGTTCGAAACAAAAACGTCAGAATTGAATCAAATCTTTAAAATGAAATTTTATTTTTTATTTTTCAGATATCAAAATTTGACATTTAGTTTCAGTTTTTACTTCATATTTAACAATTAAAAAAATAATAATGCCTCTTTCCTGGCTCTCTTTCCTAGTTAGAGCAACCAAACACTGTTCTGAACAGTAGCAGTACTTCAAAGTAATGCATGAGTAAAACAAGTACCCTGCATTAAAACTGCTCAAACAGCTTTATTTTTCCAAAAATTACTCATGAAATGTACATAGTCACTAGCAGCCTTTGCACTGAACCTGTCATCTACAAGGTAACATGGTGGCAGAAATTATGTTGTGTGAATTATTGTCTTTATCAGGAACAGAAGATGAATTGGACTAAATAGTGTTTCCTGCACAAAAACCTAATGGTTGCGAAAAACTTGAGCTGCAGAGGAGGTTCACCTGCCAGCAGAACAATGCCACTAAAACTAGATTACATTAATGGTTTATCAAAGCATGTTCATATGTAAACCAAAGACATGGTCAAAGTCCAGACCTATATTTATTTGAAAATCTGTGGGAAATATTTCAGCCTCCAGATGTCTAGTGAAGAGTTGCAGCTGTTACTGCAACAAAATATCGTTATACAAAGTATAAGTTCCCTTCCATTTTGAAGTTACGCACCATTTTGATGTCCTATATGATGTAAAATTTTATGAAAAATTGTGGCTGTGACCTGACAAAATGTGAAACACTTCAAAAAGTGTAATAGTTCTTCAGGGAACATTAAATGTCTATTCTACAGTCTCACACTAAAAGAAAAACGAGAAGTTTTCATGGAGAAAGTACAAAATAATTTTAGGTCATTAAATGGAACCGTTTGGGTTTGTTTCCATTGGAGCCTCCAGGTGGCAGCAAAGCACTTCTGTGTTTCTGTTTACATGTGGACCAGAGAGTACAGCATGAACTCTGTTACCGGATGCCAGGGAGAAGCTCTGAGTGGGTTTCTGGGTCCAGAAACCCAAACTGTCTGGTTTCTCTTTCACTAACAAGCCTGTCAACACGTGACAGTACTCCTTTAGCATTTCACTTTAGTAAAACGAATAATTTGACCGGATCTCCATGACATTTACAGTTCCTGTCAGTCAGAATATCAGCACCTCGGCTGCTTTTCCTTCAATATTAAATGAGTATTTAGCATTAGATTGCACATTAAGCCACATATAGGTATAAACAGGTTTAATTCTCATCAGCATCATCTTCTCATTATACATGTTATTTCTGATGATGGGGCTCTGCTATCATGAAAACATGGACAACTTGACGGCTCTCCCTCCAGGATGTTTAATTTTGGGTGCAGCGGAGTGTTTTGCAGCACCACAGTGGAAAATCCACAATTATGCTGGCAGATCCTGTCACTCATCGCCCACGCAAAGCATATAAGTGGGAAAATTTCAGCGTTAAAAGTAAGATGTTGGCAAGTTCAGACAGGAATAGTTGTGAAATGTGATGCTTTATCAGAAAATGTTTCCCAGTTATTTAAGAGAATAGGTTTTGTGTTGATGGACTCAAACGAGATGACTGATCAAGAACCTAACTGCTTTACTGTGAAACTAAAGCCTTCCCATAAATTTTAGAAGCTATTAAGATCATTATTGTCACTACATCATCAAGCCAGGATACCATGGTGGCCCCGGTTTGACCAATTCTCCCAGATGAGCTTTGGCTGCCAGCGGGGCCTCCAGTTTCATGGTGTTTGATTTCTGTGTTCAGGTGACAGTTTTTGAGATGCTCAACGCCAAACCCAGTCTTAAATATCGCAAACCTTTGAATATCTGATCTTTCCTTTGTCTTCATGATGCCATTTGTTCTCCAACAAATCTCTGAGCCCTTCACAAAACAACTGGATTCACTAACCTTACATTAAATACAGCTGGACTCTATCAATTAGGTAGAATCTGAAGGTAGGCCAGTTGGTATCACTGGATTATATTTATGGGTATAATGGGTAGTTTTACCGAGAACAAGGAAATGCCAATTTCTCAGCCGGAAAAATCAATTGAAGCCGGAATTCCCAGTGGAAAAAAACTCTACTACCCCCAGTTACAACCTGTAAAAACTTTGTGTTTCAATATGGCCGCTTCTTACGTCAACAGTTGCTGTGGTGTAAATATATTTCACAAGACACATGTAATAATGGATGTGAAATATTTGTTACATGTAGCACCAGCAACTCTAAACACATTAAGTGGTATTTGCTTATGGAAACTTAAGATATGAGGTACTGCAAACATGGGCGTCGCCATTTTGAAATTTGACTTCTTCACTGTCTGCTACCTGTTAATATCTGAGTTCCAAGGTAACTGGAGTGCAGCTCAGGAGTAAAGGGCCGGGCACTGAATACAAATGGTATAAAATCTCAAATTTCTGGAAAGAATGTGGTTGAAACAGAACAGTTATAGTATTATAATTAATTCAAGAAAAGATCCTGGTGAGACACGTCTTCCTCATTGTAAATTAAAAAGCCATTAGCATTTCAAAAACAGTATTATTAATGTGTATCAGGGGTTTACTGATGTGAATGAACATGATGTAATTACACAAATGAGCTGGGCTGGCTCCGACTCAGAAAGCAGCTCCAGTGAGCAGTGAAACTTGACCGACCGTCCGTCCTTGCTCAGGGTTTACATGAATGGCTTCTTGAAATTCACTCTTCAGATGTGACTGTGTGCTCCCATTTCTGGGAGTTTTTGCACATCGGTTTCTCTAAAGTGATTTTTTGGGGGGGAATAAATGCCATGAAGTGAACACAATTTGAAATGAAACATTTTAATTTCAATGTGATTGGGATTCCAGACGTAAACTCCTGGAAGAAAACAGCTGAGGAATAATGATGAGAGGCCCCTGAACCTAATCTCCTGCCTCCCAATCACTGCTGAGCACCACTTCCGCCTGTCAGCGGTAAAACGTGCGAGAGAGAGCAGAGCGGCGTGTTTCAGGCCGATGGTGCAGTGCGTGTGTGAGGAAACTGCAGGACAATCTTTTAATGGGCAGCAGAGGCCGAGGACTGCCCATCCTATTCCACTTCAATTAGACAAAACTGCTGACTGTTTCCACACACACATCCATCGCTTTTATGTTTCTGAGTGTATGAGTTGGCAGATGTGAGCAAAACACAAAATTTTCGCATAAACATGTTATAGTACACTCCATTATGCGTGACGAATGACTCCAGATATTGGTGCCGTTAATCCCTCGCTGAGCTTTCCCTAAAATTCAGACTGAAAAGAAGAACGACGCATTCACATTATGAAAAAATCTTTAATAGGATTTTCTTTGAAGATTTATCTTTACAGAAAAATGTGTATATTTTTTATTCAACAAACTGGTCAGGAATATTAAGATAGGAGAAGCTGTGTGACTTGATTTGCTTTGTGCAGAACAAACTGAGCGGCTGGTGTCAGCCCTGAACAAACATATGTGGGGAAAAACAAAACTGACTTCCCTTTTACTGTAAATTGCAATCAAAAAGGAAACAAAATAGTTTCTTTTAGTGTTTTTAAGTCAGATAATTCAAAAGTTTGAATATGGAAAAAAAAAAAGCAGAAACTTTGCAATATTCTGAAAAATACAAGTACAATGCAATGCCTCAGAAAGGCACAAGAGCAGGAGCCGTTCAGGATGTTTCAGTCACGGTGGGTTGATAGCTTGAAGTACAGCAGCATGCAGTAATGACTGATGATCGTCCTCAGAGCTGCAGCCTCACTGAGTTCATGTCGATTCTCCTGAACAAGAGCGTCTTTGTCTCTCGCCACACAAAACGCCTCCGAAATGGTGTCCATTACGTCTTCGGAGCGGCAAAGTCCCAGGCGGTGTCCTGGGCGCATTTCCACATGGCGCGCACCAGCCGGGTGAAGCCCATGTCTTTGGGTTTCTCCAACCCACGCATCAGCCGCTGCTTCATGATGGCGATGAACTCCTTGTTGCTAAGCTCCCCGTTCCCTGGAGGAGACGGACAGGAGGGAGGTGATGAAATAATGAAGGAAGGAGAAGTAAGAGGACTTCCAATTTTCTCAACTCCGGAGGCGACGCGACACGGAAAATAATCACACCCTTTGAAGAGCACAACATTTTGTCACATTCAAACTGCAACGTATTCTATTCAGATTTGATCACAAAGTCGTCAATACCGCTAATTGCAAAATGATAAATGTAAAAATAAGCGGGTCGAGGCATACCCAAAACATGACATGGCAACCAAATTACTGACTCAGGTTGGCCAAACAAGATTTTTAAAACCATTTTTAAAAACATGTTTTTCATGTCTGATGAAAAACATTTTCGTCAAAATGTTCACAATAAGGAGATGCTTCACTCCTAACATTTTGCTGTCACACTGATATTTATCATCATTCACCCTTGGTGACAGAAACTGCCATCAAGCATTTGTGATACCTGGGAATGAGCCTTACCTCACAAAGGAGAAACTTTGTCTTTGGTTATTGTTTCAAAAATATTGAAGGGTTTCTACTACGATCGGTTTGTCTGAGGTCGTACTGCATCATCTCAGTTGGATTTAAGTCCAGACTTAGACTAAGGCTGCTTAAAAACCCTCCTGATTTGTTGTTTTTTGTTGGATCGTTGTCCAACTGAATCACCCAAAAGGCTGGATGTTCTCTCTCTTTTTTAGAAACTTTATGCATTTGATCAGAATTCATGGCTCTGTCAGTTATTTCAAGCGGTCAAAGATCTGAAGATGCAGACCAGCTGCAGACCACCACACCTCCACTGTACTTGACTCTAGTTTTGTTATATTTTCATTCCAGCTGCAGTAACAGGATATAAATCCTAAACAAAGTTCCACTTTTCTCTGGAGGA